ACTGCAAAAACAAGGTCAACCAATCGCTTGGGAAGCCACAAAACTACAGGTAATCATCACTTAATGACTGTCCTATTTAGCGACCATATGAAGTTACAAAGGTGCTGAAAAACATAACTTTTATGACCAATTCTCAGCATCTCCGAGGTCACACAATAAATATTTGTGCATTTTGCAACCAGCAGACCATGGTCACATAATCGCCAGTTGCATACTTCACAGCCAGCTCCCAACAAATAGAGTCAGTGGAGAAGCTAACAAGTCACAATCATGTAATGTCTCAGTTAATGACTGCTTTGCTTAACAATGGAGTTGCCAGATCCAATTTTGGTTGATAAGTGATGACTTATATGTATATATCTAGTAGGTCTGTGCAGCATTTCAGATTCAAAAAGAAAAATGAGTTTCAGATTGTAGGCAGTCATGCATAGCACCTTTTTTATGGATTGAATTGTGGAGAGTAGCTGTGCAGGCCATGTATGTTCTCCTTAAAGTTAAAAAGTTGCTGCTGGAAATAAGAAGCAAAAACGCTTTTTGAGTTTTGGGCGTCTTTGGAAGTTTCAGTGCATTCTGATGATTCATTTTTCCTCCTCCCAATAACTCATGGGAGGACAAAAAACCCTCAAATGAATTTGAAGAATGATCGTGAAACTACAACATCATCGTGTAAATTGGAATCTGTTTATTTGATGTGTGTGCTGATTTAAACATTACATTTCTAGAACATAGGAAGTTGACTCACAGTGGAATGTTTTCATCAACATGCTCTTTAGTGCAGTTGCCACTGACACTGTCATTATAGCTCATTGCTAGGGCAACCAATCAATATGAATGTAAAACAGATTTAGAGGTCAGTTTTAGAATGTACTAAATGTAAAACAAGAACTTGTAAGATACTTTTGAATATGAATGATTGCTCAAAGAAGTGAGGTTTGTACTCAAAATATGTTTTCAATTAGCCTGAGAGAGGATTCTTTTCGCTAAATGTAGTGAGTATTCTTTCAAAAAAAATTTTTTTTTGCAGTCATTAAATCTTGTCTCTAAAAGTTTTGGCTTTGAACATTATATTTTAATGGTAAGATACATATAAACTTTGGGGATATATTTGGGGGGGGGGGGGAATAGATGCCCTAGTTATTTACAATTTTCAATTAATATTAGAGTAAGTCCTTGATTTTACAAACTACAATAATGGGGGAAGTGGTTCCCATTAAATCCCAGTGGAGTATTATGCATTACATTTTACAAATGAATACATAAAAACACCATTGGGTTTTTAAATACAGGTAGTCCTTGACTTACGGCTATAATTGGGACCAACATTTCCATTGATCAGCAAGGAGATTGTTAAGTGAGGCATACCCAATTTTACAGTCTTTTTGCCATTGTTAAGCAAACGAGTGAAGTTGTTAAATGAATCATTCCATTGACTTTGGTTGTCAGAAGCCAGTTGGAAAGGACACAAATGGTGATCACATACATCAGCCATTGAAAACACATGCCAATTGCCAATCACCCAAATTTTGATCACGTGGTTGTAGGGATGCTCTGACAGTTATAAGCACAAGGATCAGTGGTACGTCACTTTTTTCAGTGCTATTGTAACTTTGAATGATCACTAAACAAATGGTTGTAAGTTGAGGATTACCTGTCCAAAGTTGGGAAAGGACACAGCTAACTTTTTCTTGAGGACTGTGATGCAAGAACGTAGAAATTGCTTCTGCTGCTGCTGCTTACATCACCGAAGATTTCTCTGTATTCTCTACTCACAACCTTGACACATTTGTTGTGGGACTTCACCTGTTCAATCTCTTTTTTAAAATCTGCAGTGATGGAGCACCCACAAGAAAGCCATGAAGAAAGCCATTCCGCTTATTAATTGTTCTCATTGTCAGGAAATTTTTCCTTAATTCTAGGTTGGATTCTTCTTTGTCAAGCTTCCATCCATTACCTCTTGTCCTGCCCTTAGATGCTATGGAGAATAGGTTGACTCCTCTTCTCTATGACAGCGTCTCAAGTATTGGAAGACTGCTATCGTGTTATCCCTGGTTTGTTAGACTACTAGACCTACCCAGTTCCCAAATCACATTGCTTTTCAGTAATCTCCTGACATCAAGTGTTGTTTTGGTTTCTTTAGGCTAATCTTTCCTCTTTCCTTAGTTGCTGCTTTATATATATTTATATTAATTTAATTTCTAATCAATTCTCAGCTAACTGGTCACAAAGCCCAAATTCAGTTCTTTTTTGGGGCTCTTACTGTAGACATTTTATGGCTCTATTCTGTTGTTAGCTCAATCTTTGTTTAATTCAATGGGACTTTTTGCCATTGAATTAAAATATTTTAGCTTTTTTTTAAAAAAAAAAAATCTTAGACGTGCAAGTATACAGTACACTTTATTTAATTCAGGGGTGTCAAACTCAAGGTCCGCAGGGCTGCCCTAGAAACAATGAAGGACAGGCCCAGAATGTCTCTGCCAGCGAAAATGGATCTCGGAAGGGTTGCATGCAGCCCTCCCGAGCTCTGTTTTCGACTGTGATGGCCTCCTGCAACCCTCTACCAGCAAAAATGGAGCTTGAGAGGGCTGCACGCACTCTGGCCACCACAGGCAATCCCAACATGAGTGACATTGAGCTAGCCACACCCACCCTGGCCAGCCCCCCCCCAGGGTCAAATACAACCCTGATGCAGCCCTCAATGAAATCAAGTTTTGACACCCCTGATTTAGTTCATTCTATACATAGCACAACCTGTTCCTCAAATTATTGATACTTGAACCAAAGGTAATATTATACTTATTAATAGACTATTTTTCTAGCAGAATATGCAGATTAAAAAATATATAAGCTACTTAAAGCCATGAGAATAAGTGGCATATAGTGATGGGCTATTCAAAAGTAAAATCTTCACAATAGCCAATCTGTGTGTGAGAGAGAAATCTATAAAAGCTGTATATAGCTTCGCACATGATTTGGAAGTGTATTTTTCTGTCAGATGTTGTGGAATAAAAGCATAGTCAAAAATAGACCAGCCGCTTCTAAATCTAGCTTGTTCCTCAGTGAATGTGTTCTCTGTGTGAAAATGTACTTTCTTCTACTCTAAAAAAGTAAAATAAAAATAAATCTGTAGTTCAATTGTTGTCATTATTTTGTTAAGTGGAATCAAGTTAGTTTTTCCACTGCACTGTTTCCTGATTTACCAAAGCATTATTTGTGCTCAGAAAGCTTTTTCCCTTGATCTCAGTATTGATTGTCACATTTGTTACTGTAGAAGCTGTGGCTTGCTATAATCTATATTTCAGGATCCACATTACATCATATTGTTAATAACTGGCTACCAAAAAAGCCAGGTAGAGGGGTGGTAGTACTGTTATTGTTGTTGTTGCTATTTTAAAAATCTCAGTTGGCTTTCCAAAGATGTTATTTTCTTCTCTCTCAGAAAAAGGTTTTGGTTTGTGGGTGGATGTATTTTCTACACAAATTAATGCACTTGAGCGGTCACCAGGAAATTCAAGATAGAATAAATTATTCATAATCCTGGTATTCAGAACCTAATTAACAACTCTCTCCTCCAGTACAGAAATGGAAAAGATGTTCTAAATGTTGTGCTTGAGCAAAATTCTGGGCAGCTTCTTAATATTGTAAATAATATTTCATATCCATCAAATTTTAGACAAAATGGATAGAAGGGTGTGATAATATTGCTCAGAATAATGCTTGGGACTTTTAGTTATTTGAAATGTAGGTGCATTTATTTTCCAATAGAATATTTTCCTACTTCTCATTTTAAAAACAATTGCATGTGAACTGAATGGTAACTATTCATCACAGAAAAATACAGGTAATCCTTGACTTACAACAGTTCATTTAGTGACAATTCAAAGTTACAACTCACACTGAAACTTATGACCATTTTTCATACTTATGACCATTGCTGCATCCCTATGGTCATGTGATCAAAATTCAGGTGCTTGGCAACTGACTCATATTTATGACCATTGCAGTGTCCCAAGTTCATTTGATCATCTGTAACAACTGTGGTAAGAAAGATTGTAAAATGGGGCAAAACTCACTTAACTGTCTCACTTAGCAAAATAAATTTGGGGCTCAATTGTGGTCATAAGTCAAGGACTACCAGTAATGAATAAATGGCATGTTGAAAAAAACCAGATAGGGTGGTCAATTTTGATCAGAAAAACGGGGAGAAATTAAGTACTACATTCCATCTCTCCAGTCAGATTCCTGGTTTACTACTTCAACATTTAGTTAAAAAAATTTAAATATCAAGAAATTGTACACAGACATGTTAGATTTTACTTTAATGTACATTAAGAGCATTTGACAAAGTCAAAGTTCATGTATTGGCAACTGCTTTTTTGTGCAGAAGCAAATGCCAGAGCTATACAATCTCAACTTTCAATATTATCACTTGTTTTATCTAATTACAGCTGTGTAGTTAGAGGTTAGCAATGTGTTATGTTAGAATAAGGTAGAAGATTGATGAAAGAAATTATTCTGGCAATCCTTTCCTTTCATCTAAGCCCTCCAATTTATTCGTTGTCTTTACTTTTTAATACCAGATCATCTTAGATATGCTCTGCAGTACTAGCAAATGCATTAAGTTTCTACTTAGATATAGTCCCAAAGTCATATCTGCTGAAAATCAGTTTCATAAATTATTATGTGCAAGGAAAGTAGGAAGTCCATGATTAATTGCCTCATAGTTAGTAAACTATCTTCTATGAAGGCAGAACCAATCCTATTTACACATATTTTTGCAAATACTGCAGGCATTACCCTAATCTCTGGTTTAATAATAAAAATATAAAATATTTAAAAAGCAGTATTAGGTACATTTTATCCCACGATAAAAATGAAGATTCTAGTCATTGTAGGAAGGAATTGACTATGGTGTCTTAAATTTTATAGGGCTTCTTTTCTGAAAATAACAATTAAATCTTGTGTTGTCAGTGTTTCTCTTGTAATTTTTTTTCTATTTACAGGGAAGTGGTGCAAGCAAACTGTGTTCATTGGAAGAAGAGGTTTTCATTTATATGTAAAATAAGCGCAAGTGCCACAACAGGGATTCTGGATCCCTGCATCTGCAGAGTCTCTGTACGAAAGGTATAAATAGGTGTCATACTTACATTTGTATTGTAGTTGCGTCCCTGTAGGTTATAAATAATTTTAGTATCTGTTCCCATTTAAGTTATAAGTATTCATTTTGTTATTTTGAATTAGATTGTCTGAGTATGTTCTGCTCTAGCTATTGCCTAATCTCTTACTGATGTATAAAAGCTATTTTACAAGTTGATAGCTAAGGACAGCATTCATAACATAAGAATTTAAGATTGCTGTATCTTGAAATGTTGGGGCTTTGAATGAATAAACTATGCATGCTGGCTCAATATTTTTGAAATCCAACATATGTAGAAGGCGCTAAATTGAAGAAGGTTGGATTAAGATAGTGCAGTTAGATCTAGATTTGTGATTTTTACGCCTATACATACACTCACATACTTATCCGTATTATTTTCTTTATTATCTCAAAAGTGAGAAAGATTCTTTAGGATAGCAATAACAATAGCACTTAGACTTATATACTGCTTCATAATTCTTTATAGCACTCTCTAAACCAGATGTTCAAATATGCAGTCCACAGGCCAAATCCAGCCTGTAATAGGCTGCAGAGTTGGCCCATGGGGCTGTCCCAGAGATGCTGAGGACTGTGCTGTGCTGCCCCAGGCCTGGCCACACCCACCCAGTCGGCCTGTCTATCAGACCACCCCAGGCCCCCAAGGGCAAACAAACTCCAGATGTGGCCCATGACCAGATTATCAACCTTGGAAGGATGGAAGGATGGTCAGGATCAAACTCTTGCTCTGGGTAGAGTTAGCCTCCAATACTGCATTCTAACATTATAGATTCAATAGATCCTTGAGATTCAGATTTGAAATAAATAAGAAAAAAGGAAAGAGCTGGTAGTCTGCTGTTTCTTTTCCTTATTTTTACTCTGCCTCATCCAGACCTAGAGGAATAAACATTAGCACCTCCCTTTGATAACAATCGTAACATCCAAATTTTACAAAGAATACTGCTAATTGTATGAAGTGGCTTGCTATGTTTCCTTATAAAGAATCCATAGAACTTCATTTGATTTGGTTTTTTGACTACAACTATTTATTTTTTGCAGGAATTAAAAGGAGGGAAAACTTATGCAAAGGTAAAAAGACAACACTTGTAATACAATGCCTCTTTTTGTTTCCTTTACATATCTGTCTATAATATTTGTTTAGAGTTATATTGCAGTATAGGGTTCTTATTGTTATGAATGATATCAGGCATCATAAAAGTTGTATAGCACAAAGATGATAACGCATACTACAAAGCCTAAATGTGTGTTGTTGTTTTTTTGTTCTGTGATTACTAATTTCATTCTTTTGTCAATAGTTGGGTTTTGCAGATCTTAACCTGGCAGAGTTTGCTGGATCAGGAAACACCACTCGCCGCTGCTTACTGGAAGGTTATGATACCAAAAACACAAGGCAGGACAATTCAATTCTCAAGGTAATTATATGGGAATTTTTTGCTATTCCATTTTGGTTTTTTAAAAGTAGCTTTTTGGTAATTTCTAATAGGAAAGCAAAACACAGTAACTATCCATTATTTCATATTTCTCTTCCTCTTTCCCTTCCATCCCCATTTATTATCAGAGTAAATGGGACCTAAAGGAATTGGTTTGTTTTAATAAGATATCTGATGAAAAATTGTAAATAAGCGAAAACCCATCAGAAGAAAGTTCTTAAATTGTTAAAGGTATTTTAGTGATATTGTATAAATAGTACCTTACTTTGTCCGAATACATTTTTTTTTGTCATTAGTTATATCTGGTGATATAATGAACACAGAAAAAGTAAAATATTTGGTGAAGTTATACAATTTGTTTTTTTTTTCTCTGAGATGGTTTTGATAACACTCTTTGTTAATGAATTTGGTTTTGGGTTTTTTTTTATAATTTTTTTTTATTTTTTAATAACAAGATAAACATAAGCATACATAACAAGATAAACATAAACATACCACAAAAAACATAAAAATATCCTTCTTCATGAATTTACATACAGTGCATCGATTGGTTTACCACTTTTTTTTGTGCATCCATTTCCTAGTCACTAGTATAATTATATTACATAATAGCTCATATTATCAATCAATAATTGTATAACCTAATATCATCACTAAAAAAAATCATTTATAATTTTGTTAATTCATATTTTAACGAGATAACTATAGTTTACTTAATTTATTTTGCAATAAATCATAAGATCATACCAAATCTACCTTAATAATGTTTTATAAAGATATCAAGAAAAAAAATTTTTTTATGCTAAATCTGAATATTCTATCATTATGTTTTATTATCTAACCATTGATAAAAAAGATCCCAAACTTCATAAAATTGTTTATCTTCTTGTTCTCTGATTTCAAATGTGTTAATGAATTTGGTTTTGAAATCAGTATTCAATTAGGCCTTTGTAATAGATTTTCATTTAGGTTTTAATCTATATGCCATAACTATAGTCCATTTTTTGTAATAGCTCTGTTTGGTAGTTCACTTGATAGAATATAATTAATTTTTTTCTTGTAATACTTTTGGAATTGTAGTTTGATTTCAATTTTAAAAATTTCATTCTTACTGATTTATAGATCTTAATCAGCATGCAGCTAATGTCTGGAGACCCTTGCTTTAAAACGTAAGTTTAAATTTATTTACATATTTTTCTTAGCATTTGTCCCACTTAGTTGCAGAATCTGCTTGTTATGCACTGCTTTTCCTATAGTCCTTATAGCAAATCACTAACAAAGCACAATGCAATGTCGAGTTTTACTTTCTAGCTGTCTGTTTGTTGAGCTGATGCTGATTAAGGTTGAGAGAGATTGACTGGCCCAGGATCACCCAACTCCCTCCATGCCTAAGGGAGGAATAGAATCTGGTTCTACTTCTGGGCCCCAAGCCACTTCTTGACCTCTATACCATGCTAGTTTTCAATATTTATGTGAATGTGTACATGCATGCATGGGCATGTATCTTGCTACCTATCTATAATGTTTAAGAATATACTAACTTTAGTGAACTAATTCCATATTCTATCCTACATGAACGAAAGATTTGATGTGCAATTGCAGTTATCTTTATTTGTACTGTTTGTTGTCATTCTATTAAAACTGGATTCTGCTTAAAGCCAGATTTCAGTCACGAAAGGCAACTAGATCATTTCCTTCCCTTTTTCATATGCTTCCTTATTTGTAGACATGTATGCTGCAGGGTATATAGTGTATTAACTAAATGTATAAGCAAATAAAATGAAACGTTTCTGCACTATTACTTTTTGGAGTGCATCCTTAAGCACAGTATACCTCTCAATAGCACAGTACCACCTTGATCTGGAAAAAATGATATTCTTGATTTTTTGGGTGCTATATCTATATTTGGATGCTTTTTTGTGAAAGAAAAAAAAAGATGTTTAGGTATTTCATTGGTTAGTTTGATGAATTTCTCATCTACCCTGTGTATCAAATCTGTATAAGAAGACAATTTAGTGCTAGAATTGCAAATGTTTGTCTTGAATTATGTGAGTCTAATCCAAAGGAAATGAGTCTGTCCGGTCCTTCAGACCCTATCTTCTATAGTGATGAGCAAACTAAAATATAAGTATGTGCTGCTGCTGCTCTGTCTCAAAAACTATGACAATTGGTTTATGTTAGTCTGCATTTATCATATCAGCAGTATTCTTGTCTGAAGTTAATGAGCAATGTTGAAGGACCCTTTCCTCTTAGTCACAACTTTGCCTTTATTTCCTAAGGTTATATGTTTTAACTTTATTAACAATAACATACTCAGTAATACAGATGTGTACCTTGCCTACTGTATGTTGGATATTAAAGATGTTCTTTTTCTTCTCTGGTATTGCTTCTCATCCAGTTTGGATATGTTTAATCCAGAAAGCTGTATACGTGGATTGTACCAGAAAGAAAAAAATAGGATTGGGGTGAATTTCTAGACTTTTGTGATGAGTCATATACTTGTAGCTCAGTGAGTGATCTAATTGTGGCAGTGCAGCCGGGAGATTTTCTTTTCCATTAGCCGTGTTATAAATTACTTGTAGATAGCACAAAATGAAATGTACAGTACTATAAAACAGCATACATTCATAATTTGGAGTTAATTATTTTAAACTGCATAGATTTAAATTTGTAGTGTAAAATTCAGATATGAGGACCTGAAGTAACTAATACAAGTTTGTTAGTCTTTTTAATGCCATAATAGCAGTTTTTCCAGAGTGCCCAGAGTAAACAACTATAATAATCAGGCTTGTTTGGTTCTGTATTTAATCTGAGTCATCTGTAAATGTCATTTGTGTTGAGTACTACTTGTATTCCCTTCTGAAAAATTATTTTGAGTCCTTCTGATTATTTAGAAATAGTGTTACTTTGATGTGTCATTCAGATATAGTATAATGAACTGAACTGTTATTTTCCAGCAGGGTAGAACATCTTCATTTCTTCATAATATTAAACAATATCATTCATCTTTGCATTAGATACTTAATGTTGCATGTTGGAATTTCATGTTTAATCTTATTAACATACTATAATTCAGATTTCAGTCGAGCTGGGTTTGGATGTAGCATGCAAGATGAGTTGCAGAGTAGAAATTTCAGCTTTACCTGTCATTTGCATACCAGGAAGACTTGTATTTTTCAAGATGACAGTGTATCTTTGCTCCAAGATTTTTTTTTAATTTTGCCTGGCAAATAATGGTAGAAACATTGAGGAAGCTTGCTCCAGATGGCATTTCAACCAATTATAAAAGCCGGATGATCTAATATTGGCTTTCCCCTCTTAGTGAGAAAAGTAACCAAAATAAAGTAGGATTCGCTTGCAAAAATTGTGGGTAAGGCCATAAAGTCTACAAGCCATGTGTTGTACCCCATCAAGGATCTGGAAGAAGGAGGTGGTATGCTAATTCATAAGTGGTTCAGTATATTTTTGACAGCCTTCCTGGTAAGCCAGACAGAAAACACAACCAGATGAGCTTTACTGTACTGTACTTTACTGTAAGGCTAAAGTAACAGAATCTTGCAAATCTGAAAGTACAAATTTCGTGTTGTCTATTTCTATAGCCTGACCAATTAGAGCCAATTAGGAAGAATTAGTTCTTCCTTTTCTTTCTCTGATTATTAAGCCATCTGTTCGATAGATGTTATTTTAATCCGTGCAAGCACCTTATTCACATCCTTCATTATAGTTATCTTATCTTTTTTGAACACTAATTTCAATGCTGGCAGTCTTTGTCCTTCTTCTAGTAGTTCTACATTAGCTTTTAATTCTTCTGGTCAGGGAGGCAGTTCATAGGTTGCTTCAGTGCTGACCTGTACTGATTCTGTTGTTATTACTTCTTCTAAATTATCTCTAGTTCACTCAGCTCACTTCTTTATATTTACAATTGTTATCATTTGAGTTTCTTCTACTATTGGTTTTGGATCTTTCATATTCACAATTTTTCCTAATCTTTTCCAGTTCTGCTTCCCTGAATAGTTTATTTCTGATACCGAATCTCCTTCGAACTGCTAACAGTTGCTCAGTGGTATTTGAATCCAGATAAATTATTTTCCTATGTTGAAATATTCGCTCTAAAAAGCCAGCACTGTTGGTTCTGATTTATAATAGCAGATTGTAATGTTATGATTTTCCAACACATTTTTTTGTCTTATATGTAGTGGTTGTTCTTCCCACTTCCCTCAGGAGCCCAGCCAGAGCTCCTGAGTCCCTTGCCCACTTGTTGTCAGAAACTGACTTGTTGACAGACAGGTTGTTTTATAATTATGTGCAAGTAATCTATAGTTTAGATGCACAGTCTAAGATTGGTGGAAACTTAATAATTCAAGGCCTAACCATGGACCTAAGAATTATTAAGAATTAAAAGAATATAGACAGTTCCAAGTAGAGGGTGTTTTGTTTTGTTTTTTGTAAAATTAGGGTGTTCAGGTCTGATAAATTCATTATTTCCAGTTACCGAGGAAGTTCTTTAGGTATCATTCCAGGGCTGAAATCATGATTGGTATAATAATGGATTTCTTTTTTCATAAGCGTTCACCTTCGATCTTCAAGTCCCAACAGTTTGTAATTTTTCACAATTGTTTTTCCTTAGTCCTAGCATCACCCAGAATTATTATTTATAAATTATCCTCCTTCTTTGCAATAGTGTTGGAATGTATGCATATTTCCCCTTCTAATGGTTGAAAATGATGAGGCAGCAACCAACAGTTCTCAGACTACAAGGAACTATTGCACAAAAAATTCTCAGCTACCCAAGACCATCAATCAAATCACCAAATAGCCATTAATTTTAAAAACAGGAGGGAAAAGCCAGTTTAACTCTGCAGCACAAATTATATAAAAGCTCTATACATTCTTTGCTCCAGAGTAGAGTCAGCTGCTGTGTAAATTTTCATTCATGCCTGCAGTATTATCTAGTTGACTTTTCTGCTGAGTCAAGCCAAGTCCCAAGTAAGAGATTAAATGTCTGGAGAGATGAAAATTATTAATGAACAATAGCAAAAGTCTTCTAACTTGGCAACTTTAAGATATGTGGGTTTCAACTCCCAGAATTCCTGAGCGAACATGACTTGAGGAGGAATTCTAGGAGTTGAAGTCCACAAGCTGTCAAGTTTGAAGAGCCCTGAACTATAGCATAAAGCCTGTTGCCCTTAGGTATGCATACACAAGTATACACAGAACAACCTTCCATCTCAAACTTCTTTGATTGCAGACCTCCATCTACAGCAATGTCTATACCAATTGCTGGAGAATCAGAATCCCTGCATGAAGACAGAAAAGGTGCAGAGAACACTAAAGGATCACATTTGACTGTATCAGGTAGGAAACTGTGGAAAGTAATCAGCCACCGGCAAACGAATAATTATTCAGTTAACTCAATATAAGGCCTCTTAAGATAATGAATTGTACTTCAGCATAGCTCTCTTTCAAATATTTCTCTGACAAATCAACTAAGCAGGTATATCTATGAAACATGCATGATGTGTCTATTTAAATAAAGTACTGCCTATAGGTATCTAGAATAAGTAACAATATCATATATGACATCATTGTGGAAATCATCCAGCTTTTATATGCTTTATGATACAGTTTCCCATCCTTGCCCTGTGACAGACACCTACAATATTTCAAAGTACATGATAGCATAAAGGGGGCATAGGATTTTAGGATTATCTATTTGGTGAAAAATTACTGTCTTAAAAAAGTTAGGATGTTTTTTTGAAGAATTTCTTTTTATTTGATTTGATTTGTCAATTGCTTACAAGACAATAGGTATAAGTATAAACATAGTTATGAATAATGAAATGGATACATATAAGAAAAATAAAAAGAAATAATAGGACAGGGACATTAGGCACGTTGGTGCAAGCGCTTATGCATGCCCTCTACAGACCTCTTAGGAAAGGGGTAAGGTCAATAGTAGACAGTCTAAGGTTAAAGTTTTTGGGGTTTGGGGAAGAAACCAGAGTCAGATGTAGAGTATTCTAGACATTGACCACTCTGTTGCTGAAGTCGTATTTCCTGCAATCAAGTTTGGTGCGGTTAACCATGAGTTTGTATCTATTGTGTGCTCTTGTATTGTTATGGTTGAAGCTGAAGTATTCATTGACAGGTAGGACATTGCAATGTATGATTTTATATACTATACTTAGACCGGACCGAAGGCGGCATAGTTCTAGGTTTTCTAGATCTAGAATTTCAAGTCTGGTGGCATAAGGTATTCTGCAACGAGTAGAGGAGTGGAGAACTCTTCTTGTGAAATATTTCTGGACTTTCTCAACTGTGTTAATATCAGATACGTAATGTGGGTTCCAGACTGATGAGCTGTATTCGAGTATTGGTCTAGCAAATGTTTTGTATGCTCTAGTTAGTAGTGTGACATTACCAGAGAAAAAGCTATGTAGGATTCGGTTAACAACTCTTAATGCCTTTTTGGCTATGTAGTTACAGTGGGCTCTAGCACTTAGATCATTAGAGATGAGTACTCCAAGGTCCTTGACAGAGTTTGGATCATCAACAAGGTCTTGACTATTCAGCTTGTATTTTATTTTCTGATTTTTTTTGCCAATGTGTAAGACAGAGCATTTATTTGTTGAGATTTGAAGTTGCCATTTGTTTGACCATTCTGATACATAGTCAAGGTCTTTTTGAAGGGTAGCAGTATTGTCGGTGGTGTTGAATAGCTTTACATCATCAGCAAAGAGAACGCAGTTGCTCTTAAGATGATCACAGACGTCATTTATGTAGAGTATGAACAGAATTGGTCCTAGAACACTGCCTTCTTGCATTACAATTATTTACTTACAGACTGTTTTAAATATGGAGAAGCATTCTGAGATGTAGTATCTTACCTTTCAAATTTGCTTAAACTTCAAGCCATTTTTGTTGCTGGAATTTGTAGCTCATTTCTTACTTACCAGCATTGATTCAAGTGTCGGGATGGCTTTCAAAAATGGAATGTGGAGGTACATAGGTGACCAACATCATTTACTAATATCCATCCTTAGTGGATTACAAATTACAGTTGTTTTTAGTTTTCTGTAGTGATAACAGATGTGATGGAGTTATTTTTCAATATAAATTTTTAAATGATCAAAGCTAAATTAAGACAGAATAAAGGATTTTTAATACAGGAATCAAGTTCCTTGTAGCAAGATAGATCATTATTAGAGAAGTAAATGAGTTAACATAGTTAGCTACAATTATTTCCTAATGTTATCTGTATGCTAATGATTCCTCACATATAATGTAAAGGTATAATACTAGAGAACAGTTCAGCAAATGACTGATTAATTTTAATCAAGTCTTTAGTGCAAATAGCTAGTTGAGTTCCCCAGTTAACTGAGGAAATAATCCAGCAGTAGTGCTGTTCAATCTGACTTTATTTTTGCAACAGATTTTACAAACAAGAGCATCTCAGCCCCAGATGAACTTGGAGCATGTGGACATTCTAGGACTTCTAGTTATGCAAGCCAACAATCAAAAGTATCAGGTAAAACTATTATTCTTTGCTATATACTTTCAGGGCTTATAAATAATGAATTTTCTGCTTTGTTTGAAAAAAAGTTTTATGGATTCACAAATCATGCTCTTACATTGAAAATTCCTTACTAAGTGAATAGAGAATTTTAAGAAATATTTATGAAACATTTACAAAACCATTAAATATGTAAGGGTTAGCACTTTCTTGTGGGCCCAGCTCCAATACATTTAACAGTAGTCTAAACATGAGCACCAATGATACTTTTTTACCTGATCTTTGTGCTACTAAAAAGTGTATATATTGCATTTCAGGATGTTTAGGTGGCTGTTTTAAAATATGCAAGCATTTAAAAATCATATTGGTGAATGAAGCCAACACTATATAAAGACAGGCAGAGCTAAGGGGAGGGAGTTGTTATATATGTCATTAGCTTAGTGTCCTTATATTACTACAAACAATCCTAGTGTAATCCTTCTTGAATTCTGTTGATCCTTATCTGGTGCCAGTTTAATAGATTCTTGTGTATAGACTAGATTCTTGTGTATAAGTTTGAATAATTCTTCTATGCAGCAGCTTAATGTTTGATCCTGATCCTTTGTACCTGACAAACAATGTTAGAAAGTTTAAAATATGTATCAGGTCATTAACAGTTGAGAATGCTTAGCACGTAGAATAAATTAATGAAGAACTACACAATATGCAATTCAAACTAAAGACTAGTGATCTCATTCGGGTAAATTAGCTAAAAAAGTTAATGTAAAGGTAACAAGAAGCCTCTTGATTTTAGAAACTAATTCTAACTGCCTAGTCTTTGTGAGAGTATGGCAGGGGAACACTAACCCTAACTTTTTTCAGTGTTGTTATAACTTTGAACGGTCACTAAATGAACTTGTGTAAGTCAAGGACTACCTGTAATGATTTAAGGGTCCATAAATACCTTTGCTATGTACAAGTACTTACTAGTTGCTGATAATCAAATACACTAAATCACAAATAGCTATATTATGATTGACATTAAAAATGGCATATTCTGGTTAGAAGAAGTTGGAAATTTTGACATGGCATCAGACTAATGGCTCTGAATTAATATATATTTTAGGATACAGTACTGAACATTCCAGATCATCCAGTTTCTCTGATCTCTGTCATAAAAGAAATACCTCTGTGGGAAGCACATCAACTGGTATAAGTAGTATTCTAGAGCCATGTGAAGAGGCTGAATCCAGAAGCTCTGAGGATAATCTGAAAGCAACTATGAAAGATGCACTCTCAGAAAATACAAACAGGTAAATACCGTTTCTCCAACAATACGGCCTCCCCCAATAGGAAGTCCCAGCATGTTTTATAGGCATGAAATGAAATTAAGCCCCTCCCCCCAAATTAAGGCCTATATTAAAACATGCGGAATGGGGGGGCTTGCCGTTAGGAAGTACTTTTGTTGCACACCCAGATATGGTGCTGCCTGCGTTGACCCCGATACTAAGTGCCTCACCAACGCCGAGGTCAACATCCAAGCCATCGCCGCCCGCCCGCCCAAAGATGCAAGGGGGGGGAATTAAGTCACCCCCGAAAAGATGGCCTAGCCATTTTTTCGGGGCTCAAAAAAAAAAAAAGACCCGGCCTTATTATATGAGAAACACGGTACTATGGAAGGTTTAACAATATGGTAGCTATTGATCATTGTTCTGGAGCATAGCATATCTAGATACTTCATATTTTTCATAGGCTACCAGTAAAACAGGATTCTGTGGAATCACAGCTGAAGAGGGTTGATGCAACAAGAGTTGATGCAGATGATATTGTTGAAAAAATACTGCAGACTCAAGACTTCAGTTTGGACTCAAGTGCAGAAGGTTTGGAAAACAAGAATGAAAACTTGAAAATAAAATGTTGAATCATTCCAACTCTTAGGTTATACAGAGGAAAATCATTAATGATGTAATTGTTAAAGGTACTAAAAATAGCATCTACTGAAGAAACATAGCAGCAGCCACAGAGAGGGACAAATTATGCAAAGAGCATCATACCAGTGAGACAAAGATATGTTCCACCCCTTTTGGATGTGGTTATGATATATGTATGCATAGTGGCCAACCTTGCTGGCCAATGCTGCTTTGATCATTTTGATGAAAGCATTAAATCTTTTGACACTGAGGAGAAACAACTGTTCAGATTAGAAATGTATTTGTAGAATTAATACAAACTGTATTTTTATTTTATTTATTAAATATCTATGTATAATTTGGTAACTCTAGAGAATCTATATATAGTAATCTAAAGTAAGGGGAGGGTGCAGCTTCCACAATTCCAGTTTGTTTGAAACTTCTCCCATCATATCCCTTTCTCCTCCCAAAGGTTCCTAGCCATACTCATGGCTGGAAGAGAAAGGAAACATTGATTGTGTCATAGTTCTTCTACAAAACAGCTTGTCAAATGTAGTAATATTACATATTTTAATATCTATTTTTGCAGAAGAAGGACTAAGACTTTTTGTAGGTCCTGGAGGGAGCACTGCCTTTGGAAGTCATCACTTACCTAATAGGTATGTCGTTAATGTAATGCATCCTTTTATCTGTGACATAATCAGCATATCACAACACTTCAGATCAGTGTTTCTCAAGTTTGACAACTTTATGAAGTATGGACTTCTACTCCTAGAATTCCTCAGCAAGACATACTGGCTGGGGAATTCTGGGAATTAAAGTCCATACATCTTAAAGTTGGCATGATTGAGAAACATTGATTTAAATCATTACAGTAAAGCGTCAAAAACTTTCATTTTATATAGCATGAAAGAATATAACACAGTCTCTGTGTTACAATCTAATATTGAAGATAGAGAAAAAGATAGGGGAATGTGGAACAAGCAGGAAAACAAGAAAATTATTTATGAAAAGAAGAAATTATACCAGTTGTTCAACTTGCAAGTATAAAAGACAAGCCTTCTTCATTCTTTGAATGCATTTATTTATGTTTCATTTTATACATTGGTTAAACTTGCTTGTAAATTGGTAGGTGGAAAACATTCTTTAACATTCTGGCTTCTTCTGGAAAACAAAAAGGGTTAACATAAAAACCTACTCCCAAAACAATCTTATCTATTTTTTTCTCATCAGATATAAGGTTAAAAGATTAACTCAATTAGCAATGAAATAGAAATAATTTGTACAGTCTTTTTCCACAGACCTGAGATTTCCTGTCAGCCTCCCATATGAGCTTTGTTATTTTCCTCCTTTTCTTGTTTGTAAGACTATGGCCTTCATGTTTTGGTTAAATCAAAACAATCTCAAAGGACCATTTGAGTTTAGATTCTAATTAATGTAACTTTGATGGAATCCATTTTTTAAAGCACACCTTTAAAAAAGCTAAATATGTAAGTGGTAATATTCCCAATTTTCACATGGATTTATGCCAACTTCCACATGAAGAAGTGAAAAGAAATGAAGAAGCCATTAGTTGCTAAAGAAAAAGGGTCCACAACAAAATGTGACTTCAAATATTTACCTTGCTATTGCATCCATACTGCCCAGTATGTCTCTCTGGTATGAAAATGTTTCCTGAATGATTCTGAAAATGTTTCTATTCTATCACCTGAGCACAGAATGTGCTAATATTATATCCTGGTATTTAGACATATACTGATTTTTTCGAAAATGAAAACTGCAAATGTCTTGCAATATGAAATTTCTACCATGTGTGAAAGCATAAATTTACCTTACAGGTAAGTCCCTTTGCTAAGGAACACAATCATAAAATGCAATATTACATGATCATACTGGCTTATGATTGTGGTTCCTGCAGTTGCAGCTGCCGGGTGAATCCTAAGAGCAAGGGCCTTCAAACGTGGCAATGTGGATCAAGGGTCTTCAAGCTTGGCAAGGTTAAGACTTGTGGACTTCAACTCCCAGAATTCCTGAGCTAATATGTCTGGAGGAGGAATTCTGGGAGTTGAAGTCCACAAGTCTTAAAGCTGCCAAGTTTGAAGAGCCCGGCCTAAGAGTCATAGCATTTGACAATCATATGATTACTATTTGTGACCTGCCAGCTTTCCCACTGTCTTTGATTATTGAAAGCCAGCAGTGAAAGATTGCAAATGGCGATTGATACTATGAGATCACTAAATGCTTGAATTACAATCACATAATTACAGAGACATTACAACCACTACAACTATTAGGACCCATTTTCAAATCCTTTCTTCAGTGCCACTGTAACTTTTAATGGTCACTGAATGAGTATACATTGAGGACTACCTGTACAAGTTCAAGATTTCCTTTTGTTTCTAATTTTTCCTTTAATCTTTCAGAGTGGGATCTGGAGCTTATGAACAAGTAGTTATAAAACGCTAGAAGAACTGGACTAAGTTGATGGATTTCCAGAATTTATTTCTCAATATTATGAAGGATGAAATCTTCTGAAAGTTGGCATACACTGGTATGCCTGTTTAGATACTTTATACTGAAAATAGCTTCTTCAGAAACCATTTATAAGGGCAATTTCCCACCTTTTAGCATACTGCTAATTTGTTGGCAGATTTGTTGATGGAATTGTATTGTTCCATATGTAAACCAAATTGGGGTGGGGGGTTTTTTGGAAAGAGGAAAAAATCTATATAATTGAACATATATGAAATCAGTTGTCTGTAAATGGAAGACCTTCAGTAATGTTTTCTATAGGCATATCAGAATAGGAAATGGAAAGTACTCATTCAAGGAAGTGTTTTGAGAAAGTATTACTTTTATAAACATGTAGTTTTAAAATATGACATGCATTTCAGTAATGTATTTTGTTGTCACTTGAAAATGAGTGACTAGCCCTAAATAGGATATGCATATTTTATTACGGTTGAATATGCTCAGAGCCAAACAGGTGTGCTGTACATATTCTTAAAACTGAAAAAGTATAAGGTTGTATTGACTGACATTTAGTCTATACCTAAATCATCATCACAGGATTGAATGAGAACTTGACCTCACGAGGTAATTTGCAGAGAAAACTTGGAAAATATCATTTGAGAGTGAAATACTTGTCAGATGCAGCATCACCTGTACAAACACTTACATGGATGAATGCTTTGCTCCTAACGCTGTCCGGTATTAAATCACTTTTACATGTCTTTTTAAATAGAAGTTATTTCAATTAGACTTACACAGAAGAAATATCCTGGCAGAACTGTGATGTGTAAACATTTGTATAAACAAAACAATATAATTTGCCTATGCAACAATTTCAACAGAGCATTATCTGACAGCAGAAACATCACTTTTACTTTTTTTGCTTAATGGTATGAAAACTACCAATAATCTTGAATTGTATCAATAGTTTAGTAGCTGGTCTCATATATTTAAAAAATAGAAATTGATACACCTTTAAAAATAACTTTTAATAAGCTAATTATAGTATCTTATTTCATGTCTTATTTGTACTGTTTTCATGATATCACTAATTCTTTTTGAAGAGTATGAATTTTTAGTTAAATGAAGGATTTCTAATGTTTGAAATACTGTTTTTTATAAATAGAGGTTTTGCTGAAATCACATGCGTGAACTTTTAAAATAATATTTCTTTACTGTGGTACCCAACGGTGTTCTATTATGTTTCAACTTATTCTAACTTGACTTTAAGTAGGTTTCTAAAGCTGCTGTTAAAATAATGGAAAGGGAACGCACAAGGTTTATTTTGAAATATACTTTAGTTTACTTTGAACTTTCTAGCAGTGTGGTTAACTAAAATGAATCTAAGATAGTGGTTGAATTTATTGATGAAGGATCTTAGTCCTGGAAAATAACTGAATTAGAGAAATAGCAAATTGGTATGAGAATGCACAGGTTAAAATAAATTATAGGATCACTTACAGTATTCATAATGAGAAATTATCACTTTCACTAAATATTCCATGGTGAATTTAATTTGTACGATAAAATGCAATATTAGTCCATATAGAGATACCCAATTTTGTTCCTTTTAAAACTAGTACAGAGGGAATTTATCTTTTGGCATTCAACATGTGGTGGTAGGTCTTCTTATTCTATATGCTCATTCTATGTATTAATTCTTCTGTGTAAAGTTTGAACAAATATCATGCACTTTTATTAATTGTATTATTTTAATGAAGTGATTCCAGTATATCTGAGACATGGGAAATGATCTTCATATTTATATGGCATTAAACTTGCGTAAACTGTATACTGACATGCTATTTTTTTTTATTAAAATCAAAATTTTTATCATAAAATACTTCATTGTAAAGTGAACTTACAAATTCAATAAAATTTGTCCTCAACTTTTATTGGTGTTGTTTTTTAAAATAATTATCACACAGACATTTAAATACTTTTCCTGCATTACTTTTTCCCTTACAAGAATTCATTCCAAAGAAAGCAGGTTACCTTTCCTGAAACTAACGTGCAGAAAGCAAAAGGATTTTTAAATTAATTGCACCCTATTTTCAGGTATTTTTTTAAAGGCCACAAGCCACCCTCACCACCCCTGCCCTCCTCACTCACCAAATAACTGGCTTATTTGAGCCAATAATTTTCCATAGAAGATAAATTCTATTCAAGGAGTCCTTTTGTTAAATCCCTAGTGCTAAAGATAATATTGATCATATATTAATAATTCACTTATTTGATAAGTGTAGTAAGAATTGGCATAAAATTGATTTTGATGCCATCGATGGTTTTATTTTTATTTTTCCTATAAGATAAGTTAAAGGTAAGTTGGTTTATCTGGCCACACCACCTTCTGTTTTCTCATAGTTTCTGTAGTGCACTGGCTTAAATTAAAAACCAGAATTGAAAATTCCTTAAACAAAAGAGAGCCTATGCATTGGGGGTGTGTGGGGTGTGTGAAGGCAATACAAAGCAAACTCCATGTCTTTTAGTACCTACATTGCAATGTTCCATGCATGTACATGAAAGATGGAACTTGCATCACATCACATCACATATCACTGACAAATCTTCCAATTCCCAGAGACCTCTGAGAGACTCTTGGCTAATGAAATATCTCAACCATGAAGTATTTTAGCAAAGGAGAATTAAAGAGACAGAGTTAACTAGAGCTTCTCAATAAAATATGCCAAGAAATGTATTTCTCTCAATATATTAAATAACCTGGTTAACCAGCTTTTTAAAAGAAAGCCACAGCCATAAAGCCAAATGCTATGCAAAACCTATTCCTTATTTTATATGCAGGATACACAACTCAAGGAATTTTGGAGGTAAAATAGCTCCTCTGTGTGCTTATGTTGATGTCAATACAAATACCTGTCAGATATAGTCTGGCCCAGTCTTGTGTTATAAATCCATTTTAGAGTGTAAGGTCTGAGGATGTGGATATTTGTAGCCATGTAGCCTCTTCTTGATCATATTTATCATGGCTGATTTCACTGACTACATGGAACATAATATTGTAAATGCTTTAAATATTTGCAGGGATTGATGCTGGATACTTGAACAATAGTACTATGCACACTTAGGGAAAACCACCTTAAGCTTTTTAATATTTAAAAGGATCATCCATTTCCTACTGCTCCTTTTTAGACTCACCTGAAGGTGGTTAAAGTGCTGTTAATGATCTAAATATGTTCCCCTCCACTTTCCACTCCTGGTTATTGGAGCGAGGAACCACTAATTGTCTTAACTGATGTCCTTTATAAGACAAGTCTGGGAAAGGCAGTAGTCTTGGTTCTCTTAGATCTGTCTGCTGTTTTTACTTTCCTGATGGCTTCTGGATGCTATGCGGCACAGAATTAAGTATTTGATGGTACCAATTCCAGAGACTCTGATGTTCTAATATGTGCATTTTATACAGAAACGAACTTAATGTTTACTGAATTTGGCTTTCTACTAGATTTATGTTTGCCACATTTATATGTCATATGCCAGGGATATCAAACTCACATCGTCACGGTAGCATCATGTGATGTATCAGGATTTTTTTTCCCCTTTGCTAAATCAGGTGTGGCCGTGGCCAGTGCATGACACATCCACCCCGCGGACCGGGAGTTTGAAAGCCCTGTCACATGCCATCAGAGATTCTTGACACAGCTAATTATGAGTCACATTTTTTGCATTCTATTTTCATTTAATTTGAACATTTTTATTCTATAATATTTTAAAATATTGTATGCCACCCAGAATGACTTTCATGTGTGATGGCCAGTTATACAAATATACAATAAATAAAATCCTATGTGTTTTACTTGTAAAAATAGTCACTAAATAAACTGTTATAGGAAGTTTCCCTTGAAACCATGCTAATTTCCACTCTTCTCAGGGATATACGGGAAAGGAGAAAGATTGGATAAAATTAGCATTATTATATAATACAGTATCATACCCTTAGCAATTTTAATATATGCGGATTTCAAGTGCCAAAATTCTGCAGCCATATTTGGGAATCAAACTTGAAACAACTTAAAGTTGTGAAGGTTGAGAAACAGTAGCAGTATTTAGGAAAAAATGCCAATGCTGTTTGTGGATAAAGGTAATAGAACTGTTCACTGCCACACTGGAATAGCATAAACATTCATGTGCTTCGCCATTGCTGGGAATCTCAGCAATATTTCAAAACTAATTATAGAAAGATCAATTTTGCCAACAAAATGTACAGAGAGCAGCCTTTATATTTCTAAATATGAAGATACGGGGATGAAGATATTTTATTGTAACTGAGGGGAAATATTTGATATTAACCAGTTTAATGACACCAAAGTGAGAACTGCATCTTACCACTAACAATGTTTTAGATTTAGAATGTCCATCACAAAAAAGAATTGTGACAGGATCAGTTTCTGTCATTCCTGCTGATATAATTTGAAAGCAAGATTGAAACTACCTGTATAGTTATCCCCGCAGACTCTGCAAATCAATCACGCAAACATGTTAGCAAGTTATTTTGTAGCACAGAAATATTAAGACATTTGGAGAAAAAGCACAAAAGCGTAATACATGATTACAGGAGGTTTATTTAGTTAAGTACTCAATGTTTACCATACTTCAGTGTATTACTAGCAAATACTTCATTTTATCTAGTATATACTAATGATCTTTTGTACAGCAATCTCTATATTTTACTACAAAACTCCTTAAATTTTATTTTTTGCAGTATTAAAATTAGGAATATCAATTTTTAAACTTGTTTCAATCACCTTTTTTAGCTTTGTGATTAGACTGACATCTTTTCATTCAAACTTATTCAGAGTTATATAGTAAAACACATGGATGAGTAAACTGCACTCTCACTGTACTTCCAATTATTTGAAAAGTTGTATTGCTTACTTGAGTTTGAATGTTTTATTTTTTGTTACATTTTTAAGGAAGGGTTCCTTCACCCTTAAGTATTACCTAGTATAATATTACCTCATCCACTTTGTGGGCAACAGCCCCTTGGTAACAAGCCACTTTCCTCAGGTGAAAAACAAAACCAAGTGCCACTCTTGGAGACTAAGAAGTTACTCAACCATCTATAATCCAATGTCACATCTGATTATAGTATTTAAGTCCAATTTTAAACCAGCAATTACTAGTATTTCAATTATGAGACTATTCTGTTCATGACAGGAACTGTTCTTTTTAATTCTGATCA